ACTTACCAGTATGAATAAGGATGTGCCTCTTTAGGTGGTAACTGCTCCGAAAGGCTCCAAAGCAGTGTTCACAAACAAAATTTTTGGGAATCTTTACTTGAAAAGAACCATTTTGTTCCACTACCACCACCTGGGGGCAATAATCAGGCATGTCATGAGGCCACCACTGCCCTCTTCCTGGAGAGACTGTTCTACTCTGGGTCCACTTCCAGCTGTTGGAGAAAGGAACCTCTCTGATGCTGTCTAAAGGTACTGCCATCTCCCGTACTCCGTGGAGGTAAGAGACCCTTTGGGGAAGGAGGTGGAGTGGATAAGCTGTCTACCCTGTCAAACCCAGCACTCTGAGTATGACTTGAACTGCAGCCTGCCTGCTCCTATGCCGTCGGATCTGGGATCTCATGCTCCCCAACCTGTACCATCACTGTTCCAGCAAAGCTAGAGGTCAACTACCAAGGTAGTCTCCGGATGAAATCTGGGGGCTCACTCGCTGGCTATGAACGATCAAAGCATCTAGGGAAAGGTCAGGATACATGGTAGAAAGAAGGAGGAGGAATATTACCCCATTACCAAACTGTATGCGTTTGGGGGATCACCCCATTACCTGCCTTTTTAACAGTCTTTTTTGAATGAGAGGCCTCAGATAAGCTGTCATCGTCTTTGCGGCTCCGGGACTTATCACTCTCTTTTCGGTGACCCTTTGAAGACAAATCAAATCTAAACTCACAGTCCATCTCAGAACACAAGATGAGACCCAATGCTGTTCTCAGACAAAATTCATAAATGAGAGTGAACCACCTGCCCCAAAGGCTTAGAGGAAGTATACAACTATTTCCTCTTCAAGCACCTGGTCTTAAAGAGTTGAAGGTACAGAAAAGACCTTCCTTAGCTTTCTGAAATACCAGTGTTCAACCATTCCCCAGCCGGATCCCCTTGTCCCACTTCCCTATGCAGAAGCATCAAGGAATCAGAGCATGGTGTCTCCTGGCAGAGAGCTCGGGCCACCCAATCCCCAGGTGCCACAATGGACTCAAGCGCTGTACCTGACTCGAGCACCTCAGCACATCAGGGCTACCTGCCCGCTCGCCATTCTCGGCCTGCTTGCTGGCAATCTGGCTCAGCATCATCTTCTTGCTGGCTGCAGTGGGAACCAAACTCACACCTGCTAGGCCTTCACAAGCCAGGAGACTTGCCTAAGTTGAAAGGAGATGAGGTGTCAGGTCACCTGGCAGGGCAGGGCAAAACCAGGCTGCCATCCTCTAAAGAACTACCTTTTACACCCAGCTACAAACTGCTTCTCTCCAGGGACTGTCCCTCCTCGCTGCCAAAGCCTGCTTCCTTCAAGAGTCCTCCCTAACTCATCTCACCAGGAACAACTTCTCATCCCTCAGCATTTAAATATCGATCAAGTAAACAATCAAGTATTACTGACACCTTTGTCAGCACTGTGCAAGGTACTGTGTGTGGCTACATATTTATTTGAAGGTATTTCTAGGCCTCAACTTTGAGTGGGTAGGAGGTTCCATCTTGCTAACCCACAGACATGGGATATTCCTTTGGGACATTCCTCCTTCCTCTCTCAACAGCCCTTAGCTGGGCCAGGTGCAGTGGCTCGCGTCTGTAATACCAGCACTTTGGGAGGCCGAGGCAGGTGGATCATAAGGTCAGGAATTTGAGACCAGCCTGGCCAATATGGTGAAATTCCATCTCTACTAAAGATAAAAAATAAGCTGGGTGTGGTGGCATGCACCTGTAGTCCCAACTACTCAGGCAGAATTGCCTGAACCCGGGAGCCAGCCAGGGTTCAAGCAATTCACTTCACTCCAGCCTGGGTGATAGAGTGCGACTCTGTCTCAAAAAAAAGCACAAAAACTAAAACAACACAGGTTGGGCGAAACCAGCCTGATCAACATGGAGAGACCTCATCTCTATCAAAAATACAAAATTAGCCAGGTGTGGTGGCGCATGCCTGTAATCCCAGCTACTTGGGAGGGTGAGGCAGAAGAATCACTTGAACCCAGGAGGCAGACGTTGCGGTGAGCCGAGATCCAATTGTTGCACTCCAGTCTGGGCAACAAGAGTGAAACTCAACAAAAGAAAAACAGCAAAACAGCCTTCAGCTTCAGTGCCCACTTTTGATTGGCAGATCTTGCTGGTGCCAACTGTATTTTCTATCAGATTCCTTTTTGTTTGTTGGTTGAGACTCGGTCACCCAGGCTGGAGTGCAGTGGCACAATCTGAGCTCACTGCATTCTTGACCTGCCTGGCTTAAGCAATCCTCTACCTCTACCTCCTGAGTAACTGGAACTTCAGGAGAGCGCCACCATGCCTGGCTATTTTTTTTTGTATTTATAGAGACAGGGTTTCACCATGTTGCCCAGGCTGGTCTGAAACTCCTGAGCTTAAGTAATCCTCAAGCCTCAGCCTCCAAAAGTGCTGGGATAACAGCCCATTTCTCCCTTTTGATTTTAAATTCCCTAAGTATTACCAATTGCAACTGATACAAAAATTAAACCACTTGGAAAGATTTTTGGAGTTATTTATCTTGACCTCTTAGGGTATTTACATGTGTGCATGTGTTATTACATTTTTTTCACATTCCTTGCTCCACAAATAGTTTAAAAAATTACCTAAGCAAAGTTATATTTGAGTAAATGTCCTTTTTCCACTGCTACATTCTTCAGACTGACTTGGTTAGCCAGCATTAAAGAAAATACTTTTCTTACCAAAAAAAGAAAAAAAAACTTTTAAGAAGTTGGTCATCAAACTCCCAAATTTATGAAGAAATTCCTTTTGGATGATCAGTATATTCTGGGACCCCTCCCTCCACCTTCTGGGACTTCGAGTGAAAGATCCAGAGTTAAAATCTTAGCTCAGCTGTTTGCACTGTGTAATCTTGGGCAAGTTATTCCACCTTTGCAAGCCACAGTTTCCTTATATGAAAAATGCCTGTCATAATACTTATCCTCACAGGGTTGATGAGAAGTAAACTAAGTTGTAAAATGCTTAAGTGTCCAGTACAAAGTTGAGTCCTTAGTGGAAGGCAGCCTTCTCAGAAGAGTGAACACAATGCTGAGAAGTGGGCTGCGAAAGCTAAAGGAAGAAGAAACTGACCGGCTTCTATTCTATATGGAAAGGAGGAAGCTGTGCATTCAGAAGCAGCTGGAGGAAAGCCAATGATGCTACAATCAGACTGTCATCCTGGTGAGACTGGTAGGGGAGGTTCCCTAGAAGAAAGTTGGGAGAAGCTCTGGAGATACCTGCACACAGCTATTCTACTCAGGTGACTACAACAGCCTAGCTCTCATTCTGTCTCTCCAATCCGTCCTCTATCTCCACAATAATAACCTTCTACATACACTGATCTGAGGCTACTCTGCTGCTTGACTTAGCAAGGCATAAAAGGCCCTTGGGTTACATTCTGCTTACTGCAGGGAACAACTTCCTCACCTATCACTGTCAATACTACCTCTGTAACTATCCCCATTTAAATCCTTTGCTCCATAACTACCAAACTACCTGCAGTACCTGGAACCTCATCACTTTTTCCCATGACTCTACGCCCCGGCCCATGCAGTTCCTTTTGTCCAAACACCCTTGTGCTTGTCTAGCAATATCCTATGCATCTTTCAAGCTTCATCTTTTCTATCCAAGCAGAAGTACTGATCTCTCCTACCCTATTATTGCACTTTCCTCAATCAACAGAGTCAGAATCTCTCTACTACTAGCTAGCCCCTACACAAGGCATTGTGAATATAAAAATAAATAACTGTCTTTTCATCGCTCCCCCCACCCCAACTAGCCTGGAAGCTCACTGGGGACAAGGACAATCTTATTCATCTTCGTAGTCCTAGCACAATGCCTTGCATGTAACAGGAACTCAATAAACTCCTGTTAAAAAAACAAACGAAGCATTCACCGTACTATTCACTCCCCTACACCCCTCAGCACTTAATGTACCAAATGTAAACTGAGTACTCGTTGCTTTGCAAATGTCCCATCAGTGCCTGTGGTGCAGTATAGCCTACCTCCTTCATTTGACTGGAAGCTCCCTGAAGGCAGGGGCTGTGGCCTGTCTCCTTTCCTTCCTCTAGATCTCCCCCTGGTGCTTAATACAGAGCTTGGATCACTGGGGTTGGTCAATGTGTTGACTAAGGCAGCATTCAAGAGTGAAACTGCAAACAGGCTTCCCAGTGATCTTGGAGGAGGACTCTAGAGCTTTTTACCTGAGCCATGCTGATTTCTCACTTAATGCAACCCAAAAGTTCAGGAGTTCCTTGGTCCACCTTTCCTTAAGACACTGCTGTTTTGAAGAACTGTCACCAAATCACGGTAACGACTCCTTTGTGTCCCATGAGTCCTGTTGCCATATTGAACTTTGTCTTCAAATAGAACTTAGCGTCCTCCAAAGAAAAGATGGGTGTTCCAAGAATCCCTGGACTCTGCCTGGCTCCTGCCTATTGTCTGAAGAAAAAGTCTACCAGTCTTGGTTTTCCAGTTGAACTCTCTTGATGAAACTCACGATCTGTTTCAGAAATCTGAAACCAGAAAGGAAGACGGGGGCTGCTAAGTGCAACATCCTCAGGCCTTTACAATGTGCGATGTGAACTTTTTTTTGCTGGGCGCTCTCTGTGAAGCTCAGAACGAGGACATGAGTCAAGAAGAGTTTTCTTTCTAGGTCAATAGGAGGAACTGGTCTCCTGGGCAAGGAGGGAAAGCCAACAGGAGTAAAAGTAATTGGGGCTTCCTATGGAGGAACTCTGCCAACATGGCAACTGCTTAGATTTGCCATCTCAGGAATGGACGAAGGGGGTGGAGATCCTTTGGGGCTTTTGTGCCCAGTGGGCCGGCCCGAAAAGCTCGCAGTTTACAGAGGCGGCCAGACTAGGGTGGAGGAAAGCTCAAGGGCCGCCGCTGGGTGCTTCGGTGGCGGGCAGAAACGGGACTGGCAGTGCCCACACGTGCGTGTTCTCCGCGTCCGCCCGAAGGTAGGAAAAGTCGCTGCGGAGGTGGAGGGCAGGCAGGCGAAGCCCGAAGCTCGCTCAGGCCAGCCAGCCCCTGCACCCGCTGCACCAACCCGGAGCAGAGCCGGAGAGCACCGAGAAGCGCGCGAGGTGCGTGCTCGCGCCCGTGTCCCCTCCGAGCTGGCCCCCTCTCCTGGGCCGCGGACGCGGTGGGACGGGCGGGCGGGCGACGGTGTGCGCGCACGGCCTTTCCCCTCCCTCTCCCGGAGAGCCCCCTCCCTTTGCCACGCGCCCCTCCTCCCCTCCCCTCCCCCTTCCCGCGCGGTGCCCCACGGCTTGCGAGCTACTGAAGCGCTGCCGTCTGCACGGACGACGCTGCGCTCTCTGGGGCGTGCTCCTACCTGCCAGGCGCGGCCTCCCGCTGGCTCCCCGGCCGCGCGGCGCCTCCTCCAGGCCCCAGCACACCCTGCCAACCCCGCGGCCGCCGCTGCCCCCACCGGGACCGAGGCAAGTTTACAAACACCAACCCCGGCCCGTTTCCCCGGAAGCACTTCCCCCTCCCCCTCGTCCTCTCCGCCAAGCGGCCGCATCCACTTCCGGGCTCGGGAGCTAGACGAGCAGGGGCAGCCTCAGAGCGGGTGAGGCTGGGGACGTGCAGAGAGGTGCAGCTGGTGAGTGGGCGGTGCCGTGCGCGGAAGGCCTGGAGGAGGGAGCGCGGAGGTCCGCGCGTGCGCCCTGGCGCGGGTGCGCCCCGGCCGCCATCGAGACTCAGGGCAGGAAACTTGGCCCTGAGATGGTCCTTTGCTGGGTACTTGGTGGGAGGAGGGTTTGCTAGGTGAGCTGGTTCACACTCCTTGAAAAACCGCCGTCATTCTTTCTCCCTCGTGGACGTTCTCCCCATCTCTCTGAACCGGCGCCCCAAGTAGAGCCAGAGTAGTTCGTACCCAGCCTTTTCACGAAACTCGGTCGAGATGGTTCTCCGAACATTTTTTCATCAGGCCCAGATCTGCAGATTTTGGGGACAGCTGGGAGAGGCGTTACCTTTCTTTGCACACTCCTGCCTTGGGCGCTCAACCACAGTCTGAAAATGAGTGTTCTTGCATAGGCGTTCCTTGAGTAGCCCGAGGCCACACTGGTCACGTCCCTGCAGAAGTGGAAGCCCCAGCCATGGTCTGCACACCCCGAGGCCAGCCTGGTTACCTTCTTCCTTTCCCCCTTTATTCCAGACCGTCAAGCATCGAACATTAGCCTCCATAGCTGGAAAAGACCCTGACTCCCCCAGTAGACTAGTCTTTCGGGAGACTTGCCCCATGCCAGGCTGCATTAGGAAAATGGAAACCAGACGATCTTCAAATTCTTCTCCCTAGCCTTAGCCATTAGAGAGAGGCCCTGCTAAAGATGGACTGCAAATACGCTTGATGGAAGGGGGTGTCAATTCCACTTAAGTCATTTCTGCTGTAAGTGATACAACGTCTTGACATTAGGAGAAGTAATGATGATACCAAAAGAAAAAAAAATCTTTATGATGAAAAAAGACAAGGATTCGCAACCATTTTTTTTTGTAGACAGATTTCATTTCCCTGAGCCACTTCATGATATGAGCCATTGAAAACACATTTTTTTTTGTGTGTGTGCTTTTAGGATCATTCTAAAACAGAGACAAAATGGAGAGAGAGAGAGAGAGATAAAGAAACATCACCAGGAATAAGTCTTTAAACCTTTTTTGAAAATTACTACTGAACCGCTTGAACCAGGGAGTTGGAGGTTGCAGTGAGCTGAGATTGCGCCACTGCACTCTAGCCTGTCGACAGAACGAGACTCTGTCTCAAAAAAAAAAAAAATTAGCTCCTACATATTTTTTTATTATTAGTATTTTTTGAGACAGAGTCTTGCTCTGTAGCCCAGGCTAGAGTGCAGCGGTGTGATCTTGGCTCACTGCAACCTCTGCTTCCCGTGTTCAAGCGTTTCTCCTGCCTCAGCCTCCCTAGTAGCTGAGATTATAGGCCTGTGCCACCACGCTCGGCTACTGTTTTGTATTTTTAGTAGAGACAGAGTTTCACCTTGTCAGCCAGGATGGTCTCAAACTCCGACCTCAAGTGATCCGCCAGCCTAGGCCTCCCAAAGGGCTGGGATTAGAGGCATGAGCCACCTCGCCCTGCCAGCTCCTACTTATTTTACAAATCGACAATGCAAAAGTATAAAAGACACAAAAATGTTAGTCTCCCTCTCTACTTACCCCATGATCCTGAAGTAAGTCATTCTTTCCAGTTTGTTAACATATGCTTCTAGGCTTCTCTCTGCATTCATACAAAAATCTTTTCATCCAGTATTTATTGAGCACCTATAATGCACCATACAGTGTATTTTAGACATCTAAGCCAGCTAACATTTTAAAAATTGTTACACAGCCGGGCGCAGTGGCTCAAGCCTGTAATCCCAGCACTTTGGGAGGCCGAGGCGGGTGGATCACGAGGTCAACAGATCGAGACCATCCTGGTCAACATGGTGAAACCCCGTCTCTACTAAAAATTACAAAAAATTAGCTGGGCACGGTGGCGCGTGCCTGTAATCCCAGCTACTGAGGAGGCTGAGGCAGGAGAATTGCCTGAACCCAGGAGGCGGAGGTTGCGGTGAGCCAAGATTGCGCCATTGCACTCCAGTCTGGGTAACAAGAGCGAAACTCCGTCTCAAAAAAAAAAAAAAAAAAAAAAATTGTTACACAGTATTCCAGTTTACATGTGCGCTTTGTGTAGTCCCATCTTGATGAACATTTAGGTTTCAGATTTTTTCGCTTTATAAATAATGCAATAATGAACATCCTTAGTTACCTTTTTGCATTTATAAGGATTTGTAGATAGGATATGTGTTTTTTTTTTTTTTTTTGAGACAGAGTTTCGCTTTTGTTGCCCAGGCTGGAATGCAGTGGCGCTTGGCTCACCACAACCTCTGCCTCCTGGTTCAAGTGATTCTCCTGCCTCAGCCTCCTGAGTAGCTGGGATTACAGGCATGCACAACCACGCCCGGCTAATTTTGTATTTTTTAGTAGAGATGGGATTTCTCCATGTTGATCAGGCTCGTCTTGAACGCCTGACCTCAGGTGATCCATCTGCCTCGGACTCCCAAAGTGCTGGGATTACAGGTGTGATCCACCGCACCCAACCAATATGTGCTTTTTTAAAAATTTAGTTTTGTTTTTTATTTTTATTTTTTTGAGACGGTGTTTCGCTCATCACTCAGGCTAGAAAGCAATGGCACGATCCCGGCTCACTGCAACCTCTGCCTCGTGGGTTCAAGCGATTCTCCTGCTTCAGCCTCCCGAGTAGCTGGGATTACAGGCACCTGCTACCATGCCTGGCTAATATTTTTGTGTTTTTTAGTAGAGATGGAATTTCACCATATTGGTCAGGCTGGTCTCAAACTCCTGACCTCAGGAGATCCACCCTCCTCAGTCTCCCAAAGTGCTGGGATTACAAGTGTGAGCCACCAGGCTCAGCCCTATTACTTTTATTTAATTTTAATTTTAATTTTAATTTTTTTGAGACAGAGTTTCGCTCTTGTTACCCAGGCTGGAGTGCAATGGCGCGATCTTGGCTCACCACAACCTCCGCCTCCTGGGTTTAGGCAATTCTCCTGCCTCAGCCTCCTGAGTAGCTGGGATTACAGGCACGCACCACCATGCCCAGCTAATGTTTTTGTATTTTTAGTAGAGATGGGCTTTCCCGTGTTGACCAGGATGGTCTGGATCTCTTGACATTGTGATCCACCCGCCTCGACCTCCCAAAGTGTTGGGATTATAGCTGTGAGCCACCACGCCCAGCCCTATTTTTATTTTTTTTAAAGATAGGGTTTTGCTCTGTCGCCCTGGCTGGAGTGCAGTGCTGTGATCAGGGCTCACTGCAGCCTCAAACTTCTGGCCTCAAGGAATCCTTCCACCTTAGCCTCCCAAGTAGCTGGGACTACAGATGTGGGTAACTATGCCTAAATAATTTTGTAGTTTTTTTTTTTTTTTGTAGAGATGGGGTTTTGCCCCGTTGCCCAGGGTGGTCTCCAATTCTTAGTCTGAAGCTATCCAATGGCCTCAGACTTCCAGAGTGCTAGGATTACAGGATTGAGCCACCATGCCTGGCCAGATACGTGCATTTAAAATTTTAATAGATTCTGTGAAAATGAATTGCAAAAGTTTGTAATAACTCCCATGCTCACTCAGAACTGTGTGTGAATGTTCCCTATTCCTACAACTTTGGCAATATTTAGTATATGCTATGAATTTTTTATTCACTTACCAGTTTGATAGATGAAAAATAGTATTTAATTGTTTTAATTTGCATGTCATTAATAGTGAAATTAAGCTTTTCTTACTGCCCCCTTTTTTTTTTCTAATTTTATTTTTTAAAAGAGATTGGTCTCCATGCTTTGTTGGCCAGGCTAGTTTCCAACTCCTGGGCTCAAATGATCCTCCCACTTCAGCCTTCCAAATAGATGGGACTATTATATTGCTTTTTGACGATTTTGAATTAATTTTGTAAATTGTCTTTTATATCCTTTGCCCATTTAAAAAAAGGTAGATCATGTGTATATTTCTTATTGATGGTAGAGATCCTTTCTGTGTTATGGATAATAGCTCTTTATTCTTTGTCATCTGCATTTAACATATTTTCTCTCGGTTTTTCACTTTCAGCTTTTGAGATAAAGTCATGCTTTATGGAAAAATATTTGAAACATGTCTATTTTTGATAGGAACAAGTCAGAAATGTTTACTATTAAAACGAATATATATACATGTGTGTGTATATATATATATTGAGGTGGAGTTTCACTCTTGTTGCCCAGGCCGGAGTGCAATGGTGTGATCTCGGCTCACTGCAACCTCTGCCTCCTGGGTTCCAGTAATTCTCCTGCCTCAGCCTCCCAAGTAGTTGGGACTACAGGTGTCTGCCACCATGCCCAGCTAATTTTTTTTTTTTTTTTTGTCGTGTAGATGTTTCACCATATTGGCCAGGATGGTCTTGAACTCATGACCTTGTGATCCACCCGCCTCGGCCTCCCAAAGTGTTGAGGTTACAGGTGTGAGCCACTGCACCTGGCCTAAAACTAATGTTTTTAGGAGACCTCCTTGCTACCCCAAAGCCTCCTTGGTTTCACATATATTC